GTGTGACGTGCACTGTCTGGGGGATGGACACGCTCGAAGCTCTGACTCGGGTGGGCCAAAGGCAATATATGTAACCAAAACATTTGTACCCCCATAATATGCTGAAATAAAAATAAATAAATAAATACAAACAAGCCTTTACAAAGTTATGTTTTTAAAATAAATGAAGTCCACAATGAGACACCACTGCACACCCACTAGAATGACAATAATTGAAAAAAGACAATACCAAGTGTTGGTGGGGGGCTATGGAGAAACCGGAACCATCATGCATTGGTAGGAATGCAAAATGACACAGCCACCTTGGAAAACAATTTGGAATGTCTTTAATCGTGCAACGTAAAGTTATTATATAATCTAGCAATTCCACTCCTAGGAATCTGCCTAAGAAAAATAAAAACATATGTCCACACAAAATGACTTACATGTGAATGTTCAAAGCAGCATTATTCATAATAGCCACAAACTGAAAACAATGCCAATGTCCATCAAGTGGTGAACGGATAAACAAAATGTACATCCATGCATTGGAATATTATTTAGCAATGAAAATTAATGAAATACTGATATACGCTACAACATGGATGAACATTAAAAACATTATGCCAAGTGAAAAATGTCAGACACAAAAGACTACATATTATATGATTCCGTTTATATGAATCTAGAAAAGGCAAATTTCTAGAGACAGAAAGCAGATCTGTGGTTGCCAGGGCTACAGATGAGAACGGGGATAAACTGCAAATGGTTATAAGGAAACTTTTTAGGATGATGACACTATGTTAAAACCGGATTGTGGTGTTGGTTGCACAGCTCTGTATGTTTACTAACATCATTTAGTAATATAGTTATTAATATGACGGGGAAATTTCATAGAATGTAAACTTCACCTCTATCGATGGCCGTTCGGTATTTTTTTAACTATAGCATAATTAAATAATCGATAGTTCTTTTCCATGCAAAAACGACAGGCACGATATTCAAAGTGTGGTCTGCAGACCCCTTGAAGTCCCTGAGACTTCCTCAGGGAGTTCTTGGGGTCATTTTCCTGATAATATTAAATACTAGGAAGCTACTTGCCTTTTTCCCTGGTTGACATCTGCCCTGATGGCGCGAGACAGCAGTAGGTTAAACTGCTGGTGCCTTAGCCTAATCAAGGCGTTGGCATCAAACCCTATTGGTAGTTGTCAAATTCTCTACCACCATGGACTCACAGTAGAAAAATAAATCCCATTTGCACTTACGAATACCCTTGATGAAGCAGTGAAAATTATTTCATTTCATTAAATCTTGTGTCTTGGTGGCTTATCTTTTTAATAGTCTGTGTGATGAAATGGGAAGTACACATAAAGCATTCCTTCCGCCCACCCAGGGAAGATGGTTATCACAAGGAAAAGCACTTCCGCAGCTGACTGAATTGCAAGCTGAACTAGCAGTTGTTTTTTATGGAACACTGTCTCTGCTGAAGAAAAAACGAAAACAAAACCTGGCAGATATATTATGGATATTCAGACCTGGTATTTGGCAAATCATTGTCTTAAAAAAAAAGAATGAAGGCAGCCTGTTCCTTTAAGGAAAATAATAGACAACAATATTTGTCGCCAGTGATAAAATTCAAGCTTTAAACAAAAAACTAGAATTTTGCAAAAGTTTTACCTCCCGTCATGAGATTGATACCTTCAGTCAAGAGTTTTCTGGTAAGATGGATGGTGAATTTAACAAATGTGATTTTCTTCATATTATAGAATGAAATGAGCCAAAATTTAGAGATTATAGGTAAAAGGGTCTTGATACTAAAGTTTGAGAAATGCTGGCCTAGAGGTTAATAACGAGGATTTTGGAGGCAAACTGCTTGGTTTCAAATCCCAGTGTTACCACTTATTACTTGTGTGGTCTCAGGTAAGTACTTCACCTCCCTATGCCTCTGCTTCCTCATCTGTAAAATGGGCATAAAAATGGTACCTACATCACAGACGTATTATGGGCATAAAAATGAGTTAATATATATAAATGCTTTTGGATATTAAAGTGAATTAATTTATGTAAATTGCTTAGAATAGCGCCTGACTTACAGTAAGTGCTCAGTGAGTCGGTATGGGTCTTGGTGAGTGGTTATTTATAAAAAAAGAACAAACACATTATAAATGCATGACGGACAGATTTTTGTAATTATATATTTAGACTGGGAAATCTGAAGCTGCTCTAGCTTCTTTTGCCTTTGCCTCTGCCTCCCTTCTGGCCCTGGAAGTCCACGTCTGAGTGGCGTGCACCTGAGGGCTCGCTCCCTCTCTCCTGCTCGTCCATTGAGCCTCTGCTGTGTGGGGGTCCATTCTTTGCTTAGCAAACAAGCATGGGTTTTTAAGAGAGATTTGGTGAGGCAATGTACTTTTGAAGGGTACAGTTTAATAAATTGAATAGAAACAACCTGCCATCGTATATCATTTGTATTCATAGAATTAGAAATCAATTTCCTGCCTCAGAAATGCTTAAAATTACAGTCTATCATTTTAAGCTCAAAGAGTTTGGGAAATTATGTGAATAGAGAAAAGGGGTGAGGTTTTGTCGTATTATATATGTGCATTCTCAGTGTTTAATCTAAGATGACGTAAAGTTTAAAGTAGAAAGTGACCAACTTGAAAGGAACTTATATCTTCAGTCCTGCAGAGAGACTACACTTGTGCCATTTTTACCTCTAACTTCTACAGGGAAACTATTCACTTGTTGACATTGTTTATTCATTCACCAGTATTTGCCAAGTGCCTCCCATGAAGTGCCCAGCCCTTCGCCCCATGGACCCCACGGTAAAAAGAGGATGTGGGCCCTGCCCTTCTGGGGCTGGTGCATTACAGTTTTCTAATTTTTCCCACCTGCTTTGTAAAAGATAAGACAGTTTGTCTGCTATTCCCTGACTTCACTAGCAGACAGAACAGTATATATTTCACACTTCTTAAATGTTCATGAAAACGTTCTTGAGTTTAGTATAAGGTAAGAAAGCTAAGATAATCTGCAAGAGAATTATAATGATTGTTGCTTTTCCTAGAAGAGCACAAACAAAATCACCATGTTTTTTAGAGCACTAAGGTAATGCAGATAAGCTCATGTTTGACAGTTAATAACAATCAGCCGGAGCATGTAAATCATTGTCGTTTCACTGACGTAAATGGCTTCTGCTGTCCTAGGAGAAATATGAACTCAAAAGAGTTCACGTGGGGACCTGTTTTCTGTGCCATCCCATATCACTCTGCCATGGTGAGAATGTTGGGTTGGCCCACGGCAGTTTTTATTGCTTGCCCTAGACTTGGTCTTGAATCATGGCCACACCTCAAGTTCCTTGAGTGTATATAGTCACCTATTAAATAGGTTTAGAGTGATCTTCCCTTTTATGTTTTATGAGAAAATTATAAGGCACCTTGAATATCTTTTTAAAGATAATGCTGTGAAAACACAGAACAGTAGCAGTGTTGGGATAGCGTCCTTGCTAATATACTGGCATTTTAAGATATGAGAGTGTTTCTTTCCCACGTGGCTAGTATATTGGGAATAAGAAATTGGGTCAGGCTAAAAGCTAAAAAGAAGTGTTTCTTGAATACAGGCTAGTATTGAATTTTATTAATTCAATCTAATTCAATCCCAATATTTATTGTGGACTGGAAATATTCATTATTTTTCATCATGTTCCTGTCCCTGTCACAGGCAGGGTCTTGGGTAAACTACGTCTCAGTCACTGCAGTTTGTCTTTTACAAATAAAATGCACGGAAGTCGTTGAACCTGGGCAAGTGAACAGTGGCTGCAATTGTACTACTCCCGCTCCTTCTGACACTACAGCCTCTGTTCTTTGATTAGAGTTACTATTAGAGTTAAAGAATTAAATGTTAACTACACATTGTTTTCTAAACAGAGTCATAACTGTTACAAAGCTGATTCCTCTTTTCATAACAGTGTTCCAAGTTAAAATGTTTAACAGGTTCTACCTGTACTCTGTACTCTGCAAGGACTTATGTCCTTGTGAGGTGACCAGCTGTGGTACAGGGTCCCAAACAGATCTAACATTTCTGTGATGAAAACTCATGCTATTATTTAATTGTGGGTTCTAACCTTGCCTTTTACATGTGTGTGTTTATGTGTTTCAGGAAAAAAGTGCCAGCTCAAATGTAAGACTTAAAACTAATAAAGAGGTTCCGGGATTAGTTCATCAACCCAGAGCAAAGTAAGTTCTAGTTCCTGTTTTCCTTATACAGTCAACCCTCCATATATCCCTGGATTCAGCATCTACGTATTCAACCAACCGTGGATCAAAAAAATATTCAGAAAAAAAAAATAATGCCACGAAGTTCCAGAAAGCAAAACTTGAATTTGCCACATGCCAAGTACTATGTTGAATCCTGTGAATGAAGTGATGTGTAGACATTGCGTTGTTATTATAAGTAATCTAGAGATGGTTTAATGAATATGAGGAGGTTGTGTGGGGGTTATATGCAAACGCTACACCATTGTATATCAGGGACTTGAGCATCTGCAGATTTTCGTATCTGCAGGGGTGTCCAGGAACCAATTCCCCACAGAGCCTGAGGGACAGTTGTATTGTTTGCAAAGGTAAAAATGTTTTCAGAGTGAGTTCCATTTTGCCTACAAGATAACACAGACTTATTTAGGAATTGAGACAATGTGGTCTGGTGAAACAACAGAATAAAGGAGACAGATCCAACGCATGGCAGAGCTGACTCTGCAGGCCAGTGAGAAGAAAATGAGGACTACCACTATGACCGTGGGGGAGGGCAGAATTCTGAACAAGACACAAAGTATGCAGATCTTACGGAAAATTATTAATTAATATGATGCTCAAAATCAAGAACTCCACAAGAGAGTAAAAGACCATAAAATGGGGGAAGATGTTTATAATACATATAATTGGCAGTAGTTGGGTTTTGAGAATATATAAAGTAATTCTGTGAATCACTAGGTAAAAGTCAGGGAACCCATAGAAAAACTGGCTAAACATATAATCCACCGTTTGACTGAAGAGGAAACATGAATGGCTAATACATATGAAAAAAATGCCATTTCACACCACCAGATTGGCAGAAATTTAGAATTCTGACGGCACAAAAGGTTGACCAGGGTGTGGAACAACAGACACTCTTAACCCCTGCTGGTGGGACTATAAACAGGTACAATTTGGAAAATAATTTGCATTACCTAGTAGAACTGAACCTAGGCACACTTCATCCCCAGCACCTGCACTCTCAGGCATATACCCTTGAGAGACTCTTGTAACATTTGTACCAGGACACATATTTTGAGATGTCCATAGCGGCATTGTTTACATGCGTTCTTAAAGCTCTTGAAGGTAAGACCCAAATGTCCATCCAAAGTATAATAGATGACAGGGCTGTGGCATCTTCCTATGATGGGATGCTGCACGTCAGTGCAAATGAGTGCCCTGTAGCTACACATGTCAGGATGGAGGGGTCTCCTGGATGTGACGGTGGGGCCACAGAGTGAGTGGCGCTGTGTGCCTACATACGGTTTCATTCATACAAAGTGCAGCAGCAGGCAGAACTTGCAATGTGTTGTGCATAAGTAAACAGGAAAACAATAAAGAAAGCAAGGAAATGAAAAGGCATTGAATTCAGAATCATGGTTCTTTCTGACTAGATGGAAGATGATGAGACCAGAGGCTCTATTTCTCAATCTGGCTGGTAATTTCATATGTGTTCCTTTAATTATCATTATTCAAAAATGTACAAATAACATTCTATGTTTTCTATGTGTTATGTTTTTCACAATTGGAAAGTTTAAAAGAAAATAAGAAAAAATTAAAAAGTTCTTAACTTGGAAAGAAAAGATTGTATCACATGAGGATGTACCTAGTACATTTCCTCACTTGTAGTAGGTACTTGAAAATATCATTGCTTAGGGGGGCAAGGGCAACATACGTAACCTAAACGTCTGTACCCCCATAATATGCTGAAATTAAAAAAAAAAAAAGAAAATATGATTGCTGATTACCAGTACATGCCCATCCAGAAACATTTTATTTAAAAGGTGAATGCATTTTAAAAAATTAAAAACAATAACGAGTAGTTTTCTGGCTTGTTCTAGGACTGACTCTACCTTGATGATAAAATGTACTCGTGTGAATTTGAAGTTATCCTTTCCTTTTTTCACAGAGGCTCTGTTATCCCAGAAGCTACAAATCTCTCTTGTGGTGTCCACCTAAATGCAAACAAATTCTCTGAGGGTACCAATGACACTGGTACATTGGACACTGTCATCCCCCACCCCAAAATAAATTGGACTGTTATATATATGTATTTATAGCCCCATAAGTCAAAATCAGAAGCAGAAGAAGTTATGTTATCTCTGGCTCTTCCAGAAAATCGAGACAAAAATAACCTACTTCAGAATCACTTTACCCTGGCTCAGTGTCTGTGGAATTGCTACGGACATGGCCCCTATGGCAGGCAGTTAGGACCCTGCAGGGGCAGGTAATAGGTTGAGTGATTTAGTTGTTACTTTCAAAGAAAACTGGACACTCTGAAACCCACTGATCATTTACAACGTCAGTGTGATGATGCGTCCAATTTTTTCACCCTTAGGTCAGTGTTGTGCTATTACCACAATCTTCCTAGTCCACTTCACTGCTAGTCACTTCTACCCACTTTATCTGCTTTTGGGGACAATAGATATCTGGTACAGCAAAATGGTCTTTTCATCCAAGCCATGTCAAATATGCTATGTTTAAATATTTCCCTTATCTCTGAATTATAAGGGGAGATTGAATGGAGGAGAATTTCTCTTTTCTGTTAGAAAAAATATTTATTTAACTTGGACACCCAGAAGCAGCACACTTCACAAACCGGCCTGTGCCGAAGCTTTCAGAGAAGTTTATTAAATTGGTTCATGTGTTTACATTGAAATTGTGAAGAAAATTCTGCTTTCCACATAGCAGCATGCTTGCGTGTGCGTGTGTGTGTGTGTGTGTGTGTGTGTGTGTGTGGTGTGTGCGTGTGTGTTTATTTTAAACTGTGAATCAGAACCTTAGATGCTTGGAATTCAATTAAGAAATCTTTCTGGAGGGCCAAGAGAAGAATTTTACTTTTCCTACTTGCTGACATACAGGATCAAGGCAACCAGCATTTACTATACAGAGGCATAAAATAAGATGAGAATTCTTTTTTCCCCGTGAGTAGGACAATCCTGTACCATAAAGGCAGATAATCCTCGCACCATCATTCGATGCTACACGTAGAGCACATTCTACTGGCTTTGTGATCTCAGGCAAGTGACCTAATAACGTCTTTGAGTTTCATTTTTCTCAGAGAAAAATGGAAGTGAAAAATCCTGTCTTACAGAGCTGGGGAATAAATGAAATAATGTACGCTCAGTGCTTATCGCATTGTCTGGCACTTGATAATGGCGCCTTAATAATTAACAACCCAAATGCCCTTTAACAGGAGGTCGGGTAAATGAACTACACCACATTTACACAATGGAATAGTTGTTAGCAGTTTATACAAATGCACAGCAGCAATGCACAGTGCTGGACAGACCCTAGCAATATAATATTAGAAGGAAAGAGTACGTCCTGAAAGATTGCGATGAGTGTGATGCACTCTTTATAAAGTTGAAAACACGCTTTTTTTGGTACAAGGGGCCCATTCGTTGTTCTGTGGCGAACGTATCTTGCTCTAACTCTGTAGACCTGTATCTTGTTCCTGCTCTATAATCCCATCTTTCTCTCCTCAATAAACTTCAGTTAGTGCCTAAAAAAAATATAAAGTTGAAAACGCCTGAAATGCATAACTGCTCTTTAAAGGCATACATAGAGATGCCGTAAAACTACGTGGAAGGAAAGCGAGGCAGTGACGGTCACGTTGGGTTGGGGGACACCTATGGATGGAGTGGATGCCAAGGCCCTGCTTTTGTCTTGATTTCATGGGTGCTTATTAAACTATTTTTTAAGAAAACAAAATAATTAATGAAATAAATAAAAGTAAGCTATGCGTGAGCTACCAGTAGGAGTCTGTCACAAAATGAGGATTAGGATAAATCTACTTCCCTGAGGTCCAGTTGAAAAAGAATAATGATCGTAAAGAATAACTGGGATCTGTGTCCAGGCCAAGGTCTACCAAGAACCCACTGGGTAACTGAATTTCATTTTTGCAAGTGTAGGGGAGGCAAAACTCTACCTCTGCCCTCTCAGGGTTTCTGCCTAGGCCTGAGAATTAAATTGACATAAGACAAATTAACAGGAGAAAAGCGTACAGATTTTTACATGTACATGGGAGCCCCATAGAAAAAGACCCAAAGAAGTGACAAAACCCACATACCTTTATACTAGGTTGAACAAAGAGAGACAATTGTGGAAAGGTACCTAAAATATATGGGGAGACCAAAGGAAGATAAGAGTTGTTTTGACAAGGTCTGTTTGCACAGAATTCCTTTGGCTCCGACTCCCTGTCTCTGGTGATACGAATGTCTCTTTCCCCCTGGTAGAGACATGGGACCACTCACACGGGAGTTTATCTCCTACCTTCTGGAGAAAAAGGAGGTCAGAGCGCCCCTCCTACTCCTGCTGTTTTTCGGTTGCCTTTAATTCAAAATAATCCTTATACCAAAGTGATTTTTGGGGTGACATATTCTGCCATCCTTTATGGGTAAAATATTAGGGAATTAGGACTTTGCCTCCTCCTATTTTTGTGCTTAGATTTTTATTATTTGATTATTTTTTTTAAGTCTCTAGAAGCGAAAGCCAAGTATCCTTTAGCTCTAAAGCCCGTTTTGCCCACCATTCATGCATTTGTTTACTTTGCGTTAGGATTCCGTAGTATCATCATCCCTCGTCTCATAAAGCGACCGGTCACAGGAAGAATGGCGTTTGCGGGCGCGGGGTCAACTCACAGGAGCTTTGCCAGCGCTAACTAGGGGCCACCAGAAGGGCTCCAGGGTGGAGCATTCCGTTTCCCAAGGCTGTGTTTGAGTTATTAGAGAGAACTAGGAAAAACCGAAATCGTTGCGCTCTGTTCATTAAACTAGGTGCCAATGTACAGGCTTTCGTGAATAAATGCTAGTGAATCTCAGCATCAGGTATTCATCCTCCGTAAACTTACATCGTAAACAATTCCGTGATCCCTTTCTAACACCAGGAGGAAAGACGGAAAGCCAGTGAGCCTATCCTCCTCCTCTCTCCCCATTCAGTCACCACATTGTGACTCAGAAAGGATTTAAGAATAGAGCCCTTACCCGGGGACAGTTTTTCACAGTGCGGCTTGTACTTTTGGAGGTAAACACTTGTATCGATGCCACCGTGTCAATAGGGTTTCCACCTGGGAAGAGGGGATCCGTGCTCATCCAGGCGGGAATCAGCTGATGGGGGAAATTTATTTCATTAGAGTAAAAATTCTGTCCCTGCTCCTTGCGAAGAGATTTCTGTGCTTCTCTCTGAAACTAACCCATGAAGAACAGAGGAGTAAGCCTCATGCTTTCAGAGTACCCCAAACCTGAGACGATGCACAGGTGACTAGTATCTCCTGTGGGCACTTGCTCTCTGGCAGCATCTGCCACACTTCCGGTGGCACCAGAGATTATCTGAAGGCCCTTGCCTGGTGCACCAGGCTTCGACCATAACAGCTCTTCCATCTTTTTCCATCTAACACGATCCGTGGACTATCTTTCAAGATGGCAAGAGAGTGGCTCAGTCTGGAGTGTGACTTCTTGGTGGGTTATGAAATGCAGCAAAGACAGGCAGGGATGTTCTCATGCTCTTAGAGGAAGAAACAGCAGGCAGCATTTCTGTATCACGGGGCGATACAAACCTGGAGCCACCGGGAGTTTTGCGCTTGCTTTACCTTATATGCATCCTGAGGCTCCTGGCCGTCACTTGTCCTCAAGCTCCCGACGGGGCCCTCCGAGCGTGCAGTACGTGCATTCTTGATCACAGAGATGGCAGGCACATTCGCAGAGTTGCTCTTATTAATACTTAAAACTTTACCTCTCGTCCCTCTAATGTGCATATGTATGAGTACTCACCAAACGTTGCTGTTTTCATGTTGTGGTATTTAAATAAAGGAGTTAATGGAAGTTAATGTCAACCATAGACTGTTGACGGTAGAAGGGACGTCAGAGAGCAGCCCGCTGGTTTTACAGATGAGGACTCTGAGGCCCTGCACATCACCCAGGCTAACAAACTATGCCGCCTCGGTGAGGGGGTCATGAATTGCATAAATGTAGATAGTGAGCACTTTGTCAATGAATTAACAGAGATTCCGGGGAAACTATTTATACCCACAGTTTGTCTATCTAGTTGTCTATATTAAGATATCTATATATCCTCATGCCTTTCCTGTCCGGGACCTAGAGCTGTCCAGCACCCTCTTCTATTGAGAGCGTGGCCAAGAACAGGGAAGACGCCCAAAAGGTGCGTGAGCAGCAAAAATGGGTGACAGAATATTCACGTTCTGTACCCACAGGAAAGCCCCTGGGCTCTCCTCGGAGTCTGCCGATTCTAACTTTAGGCGCAGCTCTAACAGACTTGGCCGGCTGTGCTATTTCCAAGCATGACATAGAAGCAGCAACGGGGAAGAAAGCTGACAGGGAACTGAGACCACTCTGACAAGAAGAGATGAGAGAAAAGCTTCAACCGCGGCCTCTGGATTGAGGACGTTTTGCTTAGAAAGTGCCAGCTCTACCCATCCTCGTGGCTCTGGCTACCACAGTACTACAGAAGAACATTGCAATTTAAGGTCATGGGAATGGCCCCTAGTTATTAAGTGAAAGTTAAATAATGTTGGTGAAAGGTCCTCTGTTATAAGAGTATGCAGTTTAGAAAGATTTGAATCCCAAGTGGCTCAAATAAAAAATGTTATGGTACCTAAGTAAGTAAAACCAAGAGGAATCTGGGAAAATTCAGCTATGCAAAATGGCTTTTCTGCACAGCATTCTGCAGAGAAGAGAGAGTTTAATGTATTCTGTCATCCCAGGTTCTGCCTTGCCTTCCTAGCCTGCCCTAAAAGAGGGCCTGTTTCTAAAACAGAGTATTTTCCGTATTTAAATGATCGTACAAAGGACAGCAAAATAGCGTGATATGTGTGAACGTGCTTTGTAAACTGTGAAAGTTGATTCGTGGTATCAGATATTTACTTCATGGCTTTTTTTTTCCTCTCAGAGCTGATGATATCATTGTGCTCATAGATTTGAAATTTTGGTTTTGTACACAGGGGAGAACCTCCTCTATCTGTCATGGGAAGACTGAAAGGTTTCAGTCACTGGTGGCCCTCCCTGGGGCCCCTGAAGCGTAAGGCATCAGGCTAAGGGGTATGTCACGTGATCTCATCACACTGAGGCCTGAAGCCCATTCCAGAGCCATCCTCCAACCCCCGCCCACAGAAACAACCAACAGGCACTAACAGTGACTGAAAGAAACACTGCGTGGTGTGTCTCCCACCCAACAGACTTAACCTCCTTGGAACATCCACAGCGATTTGCTGGGTAGAAACGACTGTCCTGAGACTATGTCACTACCAGGGCCCATACTCCCCGTGCCCTTCCCATCTGCGATTTTTCTCTGCCTTCCTTACCTTCTTATGTTTCGTCCCCCCCAGCCACGTCAACCCTGTCACCAGGCAGGCTGTCAGATGGCATACGACAAGCAGAAAAACAGGGCACGTGCTCCTGAGACCCATGTCCTGACTTGCTCCCACCTTCCAGTGGAATTTCAGTTCCAAACAGGTGTATTTGCTGCTGCCGGCGCAGAAAGCGTCCGGGGGCAATGCCAGCTTGCTTGCCACCGGCCCACACCTGTGCAGCCAGCTGCATATCATGCCGATGCTGACAACCTTTGTAAAATACACGTTTCCATACAATAACTAGGACGGATATTCTGTTGTGTGTTACACACAGGGTTGAAATATGCCATATGCTACTTGCCCATGCTTCTTTTTTTATTTTTTTGAGATCACAAATGAGTATCTGAAGAAAAATTTGGCATTCAGCTCCCAGTCCAATCACTATAAATAGCACCTGTGCATTGAAAGGAAATTGTATTCCTTAAGTCATGGGCTCTAATAGACTGTTATGAAACACACTCGCAGGATTACTGTAATGACGTTTATCCTTAATATAACTTCGGAGTGTTTCAGTGGAAAAATCTGCAATGAATAAATGTCTGCCCCGAAGTTTAGAGACTCAGCACTTCTCATGTGAGGGAGCCGGGTTTAAGAAAGCACTGAGATACGCACTCAACTGCTCTTTGTTTTCCAGCATGCACATCTCTGAAAGCCAACAAGAATTCTTCAGAATGCTGGATGAAAAAATCGAAAAGGTAAGAAGTGAAATAAATGAATTCCATGTTCCAAGGGAAATATACTAATGGCTTCCTATGTGAAGGCAACAATATTCTTATTTCTAGGTTTGAAAGCTGTTTTTGGAAGGGGTTAAAACAAAAGTCACCGCCCTTCCAAAAAAAAGTGTGTGTGAGAATGTTTCATATAGAACAGAGCCTCCCAGAATCCCGGCTGCTCTCGCGTATTGAAGTGTGTGAAGTCAGGGAGAGACTAATCAGCAGCCTCTGCCCAGACAGCTCATTCTTAGCACTGCAAATTGTTCTGCGTCTCATGCCCTGCTCTGACCCCAGACTGCAAGGAAGCCCTTAGTACCTGCCAAAACCTGTCAAGGGCCTACGACATGCTTGGCACTGCCGTCAGTTCTTTACAAACATCCTGCACCTATTTCAACTAATACTTACCTCAGGGTAATGGCTGTGAGTTATCTGCATGTCACAGACAAGCAAACCGGGGCTCAGAATGCTCGGGTAACTGACCCAGATTTGCAAGGATAATAGTGGACAAGTTGGAATTCCAGCTCAGGTCTGTCTGACTCCAAAGCAGTATCTCCAAGTTGCTTCTCTAGTAGTGTGTGTGGATTTTTATATTGACAGTAAGATAGACAAAGTCGATCTGTGTGGAAATTGAACCCACAGATTTGATCTCAGAGTGCCACATGCTGATCAAATGAATGAAGAATGAAATATGGTCATAATTAAGGGCTTACGTCCCTGTAGAATTTAAATGCATCCTGCAAAGGGGTGAATTTTAAATGTAAAGTTATAAATCTGAATGTGATAATTTCTGTATTCTAAAGAAGAGTAAAATCCTGAATTCAGAGTATATCACACTATGATTAAGTCATCACAAGCCTATTTTACCTTCGAAATCTTTTTAGTTTTCATTTTTATTTCTTTTTTACTTTTTGTGGCTCTTTTATCTGAGTATTTCTTCATGGATTCTTAAGTTATGATACATATCACTCAATGGAAGATAAAGAAGGAGGCCATAAATTTGTCAGCATTTTAGCAGCAGATCCCACTTTGGGTTGGACCCCCTGAAAGAACAATTGTATAATCTTCTAAGGCACCATTAAAAGACCAGCAAATATCACCAATGTGAAATATAGAGATGGGTAGTGAATTAAAATGACAGTTTATAGTGTTCTCTGGCTGTACGTAAATAAATACTTATTTAAAGTATAATAATTTTTTGACTTTCAGTGAAATTTTGTCTTATGAGTGACTTTTTAGGTGGGAAATTTCACTTAGGAGCAGTTACCAAGTTTCACATTTTAGTTCAAAAGCTGTTTAACTTGTCAGTAACATTTTGTTTTAGTAAAGAGAAGCATAGAAAGGAAAATAGGCCGAGTATCCCTAATTTAAAATCCAGAATCCTCCCAAATCTGAAACTTTCTGAGCGCTACATGATGCTCAAAGGAAGGGTCATTGGAGCATTTCCGATTTTGGATTTTCAGACTAGGGCTGCTCAACTGGTAAGTATATCATCCAAATAAATATTCCAAAATCTGAAAACATCTGAAATCCGAAACACCTCTGGCCCCAAGCATTTCAGATAAGGGATACTCAACCTGTATTTTCTTCCCACTGTAATGGCGAAAATCTTTTCTTTCTCTCCTTATTTGGATTTTTCCTCCCACTAGCATTTTGGCAATGAAAAGATCTGCTTAGGATTTAGGGGTACACTGTAAAAGTTGGAATGTGAATTTTAAGTTATCTTCTTAAACCATATTTACAAACCCTGGCAAGGCATCTAAGATGATCTAATCTCTTTCCAGTGTATTTCCGTAATTGAAATTATGCCTCCTTCTACTCAAAACTGAAGTTCATTGCTCCCACCTGAAATCCGATAGCCCCGTTCCCTTTTGCATCCAGGGTATAGAGGATGACGTGCTTAGCACAACAAAAACAAAGTTTATAACTTGATCATTTATTAGATGGAAACTTCCTTGGACAAAGGAGCATTTGTAGATTCGACATAAACAGTGTTCCCACTACTGAATACATTTATATTCAAAGAAGAGAAGAGCTCTTGTATAATCCCTGACATGTATCTGGTAGTAGATTCCTTCAGGGTATTTTTTATCCTCTTCGAGCTATACTTTTCCTGTTTCTTCTTTCTTAACTAAAGTTCATCCTTCTGAATATTTTGAAAACATTAAGCCTCTAAAAATTAAAATGCTCCTTCTTAATATATGTTTGCTTAACGTAATCTTCACCATAGTTTATATAACCAAAATTGAAAGTTGGATTCTTCCAAATTGTTTTCCTGGGCCTTTGCCATTGCTAAATATTCCTTTGGGCCAGGCATGAGGCCCAGCATGAGGACAGCCATAAATACAACTCAAATCTATCGTTAGGTTTTAGAGGGTTGATTGAAAAAAAAAGAAACCACAAAAAATCATTAAACTCACCTAGAGCTTCATGCTGAGAGATTGAGTCATGGTGAGAGCTCTTGAGTTTTAAGATTTCACCTCTCCCAGAAATGTCCAGGAATTCCTTTTTTTCCCTTAAATTAATAAGCAAAATTGACTGAACCTTATGAAGGTGTAAACCTGCCCTTCCTTGACTCATCCTTTGCATTTATTGGATGTCTGTAGGGCCTGGTTTGAATTTGCCTTCTAACCTAATTTACCTATGGATACCAAAAAAAATGAATGCTCTGTCTTCCTTAAAATAGATGTAAAAGTCCCATTAGTATACTCACACTAGGACCGTGAAGTGGTCTAATATTTATAGTAAAGCTTAATTTGGATTTATTTTGGACTATTCGAATTCAAAGATTATCGCAGTGCAGAGCTGCAGTTTGCCTTTGCATCACAGTTAAACAGGTGGTTTTCTAAAAATGTAATGATGACCCCAGAAAAGCAAGTAGCAAAAATGCAATTTAAAAAAAAAAATAATTCAGCACCTACTGAGTACCAGGCATTATGCTAGTTACCAGGATACAAAAATAGGTAGGAAATACCGGACACAAAATAAATAGGAAACGGCCCCTCGCCTTGACAAATTTAATTTTAAAAGGGAATTTTTTGAGAATGTAATTATACTACTGATTGAGGAGTTCCTCATCCGTCGCCACCATCCCCACCCCACCGCGCCCTGCTGCTGTCGCTGAGAATCAGGGTCTCCTGTCCTGAACACAAGGATTTGCCTCCTGAGTTGGTTCAGGTGTTGGAACTTCAGGTCCATTAACTGGGCAGTTGTGACAGCCCCTAGGGCACTTGGCATCGTTTCACTGTGCTGGCACGTGGGAGGCCACAACACTGTACTACATCTGGAGGTGACCGAGAGAGAGACATTGTCGGGACAGCAATGAAAGTTTAAAGGAGCTTATAATCTCTGTTTGATTTACTTTTGCTTTTCCTTTTGGAGAGTAAAAATACTATGAACCAATGGGAGCCATTCTCATTTATTTTTACCTCATTATTTTTCCCCCTGTCATCTAACCGTAATTCCATTGGAATCTGCAGGTATTGTTGTGCTTGACAATTCACAGGCTCCTAGAACCGTATTTGAAGTGTTGGCATTTGCCTAACTTTGCAGCTTTAAGAAAATGAGCATTTGCTGCAGAGTAAGATTGTGATTTTTAAACTCTAGTGTTTCACTGTATCTAGGAAAGAAAGAAAGTATCTGGATTAAAACTTGGCCTGTGGGGAAGTTTCTGAATATAGTACCAAATACAGGTAACATCAGATTTTAAGATATGCTTTCCACCATGCATTTCAGTTCATTTGTAAGAAGCAGAAAAAGTAAATACATTTTTAAAGTATCTGCAATAATAGTACCTTCTCCAGGCAAAAACAGGGATTGATATTTTACTCTAGGAGGACATAAGACTCCAGCTAATGACCTAGGAGTCTTTTGCTCTCTCAGAGAGAACCCTGAATATTAAATAACGAATGTCTCAGTACAAGGCTGTTCACATCTGGTTAGTTTTTCTAATGCAAAACTTCTTAAACTTTGTTGGGCCTTGGGCATCTCTTCGGAATCTTCTAAAAGTTATAAAGACTCTCCCTATAAAATTGCACATAATATCATATATGCAAAATTTTTAAGTATAAATTTCAGGATTTTATAACTCCATGGCGCCTGGCCATGGGTCACAGGCAAATAACATGTTCATTCCTTTATGATGCATTTCACTGATGTGCTTCCCTCAGATTTGGGGCCCAGCTGTACCCATGAGCATGTATGAGCCCAGCTAGTGACCTTATGCATATATATCGCTGACTTTAAAGAAGATTAGGAAACTGAGAACAGATGAGTCCACACAAACCCATTCTCTTTCCTTTCTTTTTTCCCTCCCTTCCTCCTCTCCTTAAAAACATAGTTCATAGTACTCATTAAGGTGAACCATCAGCATGCCTGCTGCATCTTGCATATTCCCGTATGATCTTGAGACTCTGGCTCTGTTGATTAGAATTATTCCATGTGACATTTTTAGGAAATGTATGAAAAAGAGCAGTATGTGAACTTAAAATCAGCTAATTTTAAACGATCAGCTTTCTACTGTTTTATCAGTAGATCTCCACATGTATTAAACAATAATTTACACTTAGAAAATATTTGGGTTCCTGAAGTAGCCTGATTTTCTCTTAATAATACATCAGCTCAGCATGACCCATGGTAATTACTCTGTGTCAAGATCAGAAGGCATTTGCTTTTCATCCGGTGAAGAGAATGACTTGTGCGTAGTTACGAACTGTGATGTTGGGTCCTAGGTATAAACAATTTCTGTCGTAGACTGTTCGCCCTCAGCGTTGCCATGGAGTCAGATATAATGTTTGGCAGATGCAGTTTATGTGACGGGTTTTACTTTTTGG